TAAAAGTGCAGACCTTGTGAAATATAACAGCATCAGAGCAATTTATTTCATGATTATAGGTTGGGTGGTACAGGGATATATACTGTATATTCTCAGATTACTCTTCTAGGATTGGTTAGTCGAGGACAGGAAATGAAGCAGGTCAGGATTTGGTGAGGCTGAAGGAGACGTGGTTTGTGGACATGCACTTCCTCTGCTCCCTGAGCCCCAGGGGCTCCACATGAAACAGACGAATGGCCAGAGGTCAACGAACTACAAGGACCTCTGCCAGCAGCTCAGCTAAAAGACAAAATGTCAAAGCATCACAGGCTTTGACAATCAAGATCACTGAGAAAAAAACCTTGGGATTTAAGAATCAACAGGCCATAAAAAAAGCTTTAGAAGATTCAGTAGAAAACTAAGGCCAGAAGCCAACACCCACAGATCAAATAGACAATGGCTAATTATAATATGAATCAGCGAATGTTCATGACACTTTCTGGGATCAACTGCCTGCAATTTGGGTGACTTTGGGGACATGTTTTCATTTCTTTGAACTTTAATGTCTTTATTTATAAAAAGGGGTACATCAATAGCTACCCTACTGAGTTTTTGAAAAGATTAAGTAAAAGGCATTTTATATTTCCTTCTACCAGAAAACTGAATGTAGCCATTTTCCTTTGAGAGCATTGGTGGCACTTAAATCATAAAATTTAGAGAATTATTCTCTACTTCCTTCTACTTATAACTCCTGGGAAAGAGTTAATAGCAAAGAATTGAACCTGTTAATGGTCACCCAAACTATCTGTCTTTACTTTATGCTGCTCAAACAATAAATGATCAAATGATTTGAATTCATTTGTAAAACAAAAAGGGGAGAAATTCTGCTCTCTCATAATATTTGAAATACAAATGGGGAGAAGGGGAGACTTGTGAGAGTGACTAGAAATAAAGAGAAGAGAGTGTGAGAGATCTGATCCACACGGAGAGTGTGTGTGTGTGTGTGTGTGTGTGTATGTGTGTGTGTGTGTGTGTGTGTTTGTGTGTGTGTGTGTGTGTGTGTGTGTGTGTGTGTTTGAGGTAGGGGGAGTATGGGCATAAATACAGCAGAAGCAAATCCTGTCCTCAGGAATAGCCATTAAACATTTAACAATATAGTGAGTGTCATTGCCCTGGCTGTATTAGGTGATAAAATAATCCTTTACTCATGATGCCAACTTTTAGAAACTTGTGTTGTGTGACTGCATGACAATAACATTCTTGGAGGACTAGCTTTAAAGTCTGAATCATCAGGGCAGAGCAGAGAACAGCAAGTCATGAGTTAGATTGAGAAAATAATGAGAAAAAGATATTAGAACAAGAGCTAATGAACTGGTGAAAGGAGTAAGAAAAAAACTTCATGGACACGGACAACAGTATGGCGATTACCAGAGGAAAGAGGGTTGTGGGCCGCTGGAAGAGAGTAAACGGGATAAATGGTGATGGCAGGAGACTAGATTTGGATTGCAAGTGCACGATGCAATGTGCAGATGATGTATTACAGAATTGTACACTTGAAACCTATATAATTTTATTGACCAATGTAACCCCAATAAATTCAATAAAAAAGAGCAGATCTAATGAAAATAAATGTAAATGGATCTTGGAACTATAAGCAGAGACACCTCCCCCCAAATTGGGTAGTTTTTGCCCCCTCTGCAGGCTAGGTGGGCTCCATTCTCATCTGGAATTTAACCTTGCCTGTCCAAGATGGAAAGAGAAATCTGAGAAGTTCTGGTGCTGCCATTCTGGCTCAGCTCTGGGACTGTGATAACTGGATCACTGAGAAGTAGAGTACATCTAGCATCAGGTTTAGGAAGAGGAGTGGGATGAACATAGAAACTGTGAGGTGGGAACCTCCTTAATATCCTTACATGGAATTTTCTATGCCCTACCTTCTGTTAGGAAGGAAGAGTCTCCCTGTCCATCCAACAGGAATTCCTGCATATATGATTTGAATTTCATCCTCCCACACCCATCATGTGGTCCCTTCTTCAATTATGGCTTTTATACCTTGCATCTTAAATGTTCTCTCTCTACTAGTTCTTTCCCATCTAAATATCCTCAAACCTATTCCATCCCAAAGGGAATTCCTGCCTTGACCTCTCATACTTCTTGCTGCATTCTGGCCCCGCTTATCTCTATAACATCAACACAACCTCCTTAAAAATCATTCATTATTTATAGTTGTAGGACTTTCCTGTGTGATTATATTAATCATAACACCATGTTCAAATATTCTACTGACACAAAATATTTTTTTGTATGAAAAGCAACAGTCCCCAGTCAACTCCAAACACCAAGATCAATGTTATATATGGCTCATGTGTTGCAATTGTTTCTGAAGTCACTTGTATTTCATCTGTATGTCTCATTTTCTCTCTCTTTTCATTTCTTGTCATGTTTATGGTGATGAAACAAGGTTGTTTGTCTCCCAAAACATATTTTGCTGGTTATTTCCTGGTGGTTTTAGAAGTTCCTTTATCCTCTGTACTTCCTACATGTTGGTAGTTATATTTATAGAATTAATGAGATTCACTAAGAGTTTTATGTTTCAAGATGCCTTCATAGTTGGTGCAAAATCTTTCTAACAGAGGCACATAATCATTGACAATGCCTCTTTTTGTGCATCTAGCCACTATAACCATTTCTCAGATGTATTATTTTACTAGGGGTTGCAAACTGTTGATATTCTAACTCCATCATTCCTGCATCATTTATTATCTGGAATATACCTAAGACATACAATATTGCATAAAGTTGTCTGTATTAGAAGTTCACAAGAATGTGGAAATGGAATTGGTTTAAGGTCAGGCTATTGTTGAGTCTGTAAATATAAGTTTTAAGGGACATACCGAAGGTCAGGCATAGAGGTCCAGTGGAGTGAAGTAGCTGTGCTTCCATGTTGAGTCCCTTTTCTGGTGGAGGCGTGCTAGAAGTTCAGTGGTCATAGTACTTGTGCAGAGTGAGTACCAGGGCAGAGAGCCTGTATAATAGATTCATGGAGAGGTGTGGGTCATGCTCTATCAAAACTCAGGGGTTCACCATCTATGCTGGGTCACATTTCTATACTTCCCTTTTCTACATATTTCCTTATCATTACACTGACAGCAGGTTTAACTGTGGACACCACACCTTGGTGAGGGACTTAGGTTTTATTTTTCATTCATTAGGAAGCTCTTCGAAGGGGTTAAGCAGTTAACACACATCAATCAATTGGGTTTGGCGATCTGTCATGGGCCCCGAGTGCCCCCAGAGCTTCCTGCTGGGTATGCCAGAAATGCAAAGCTTTGATTGCCTTGACTTGGGCTATTTGTCAAGGTTGTTTTTGCAGTGAGCAATCATTCAAACGAGGTCCTGTTCCTGTAGACAAAGAATGGATATGATTTGCTTACCACAACAGTGGTGAGCCCCCCAACCCAGTGGTCCTCTCCTATAATGCAGCCCACTGCATGTGCTGCCACTCACCTAGACCCACCTGCATCACACTCGTGGGACTTGGGAAGGCATGAGGGACTGATGTGAATATGAACTGTGGCTATTGCTTTTGCTCTGAGTAATAAATCCCCTTTGTTACTGACCTTGAAGCTTTGTGTCTTCTGCCACCATCCCTCAAACAGCAGCTAGTCATTGTTCTACAAAATTACACCCATCCTATTGGCAAAAACTTAAAAAGTGATAACTTTCTCTGCTGGTGGAGATGAAGAGAAAAGGGCCCTCTGGTACCATGCTACAGCCTTTTTGTGAAGCACTTTGACAATAATATACACTGGGATATACTTATTGGCAAACTCATTGAATTACAGACATAGACATTGGATATATACAAATTTTACATGTCAAGCATACGTCAAAAAAGTGATTTTCAAAAAAATATATAACATCTAATATAAAAGACATACATGTATTTTAGTCTGAAATCTCAATTCTGGGACTCTGTCCCATAAATATAAAGGTGCATAAGGGTTTCACACAAAGGTGCTCATTAAAGCACTCACCACAGTTAAAAGGGGCACCAGTCACGGCCACAAAGAAAAGGGACCGGCACCCAAGACCCCTCAGAAAATACTATTCGATAGTAAAACCGGGGTGGGGGTATGTAGGTGGGGGAAGTGAGAGTCTAGAATACCCATCAAGAGTGTAATGTCAAAGCTAGCAAAGAGTGTAGTTAGATCTCCATCTTTTGATCTGAACATATTCTCATCATGTTTGTTAACTGCGGAAAGCAACTTCCAAGAAAATAAATGTATAGTGTGACCGTTTTGGTGGAAGGAAGGACACAAACCATATAAAACAATCCTATTAACAGAAAGGAGTGGAGAAGCAGAAATAGTATGTATTGGCGTTGGTTGTTTGTCTTCGATGGGAGTGTGGATAGAAAACAAAAGTGAGAAAAGTAATACATTGGTGAATGGGCACCACAAGTCTTGTTACAGGAAATACTCAAACTCATCCCTGAACACTGGAGTGTCCTTTAAGAATGGCCTTCTCTGGCCAACAATGACCATCCCAATGCCCATTCAGCAAGCAAACCTGGCAGGCAAAGAGAAAGTGGGTACAGTCACCAAGGGGCACCGGTCACTGCCAGAAAGAAAAGGGACTGGCACCCAAGACCCTTCAGAAAATACTATTTGATAGTAAAACCAGGGTGGGGGCATGTAGGTGGGGGAAGTGAGAGTCTAGAAACTCTGGTGGAATCTCCCTGCCCCTCTACCTCTCTTCCCCCGCCCAGGCTCAGCCGCTCATCTTCCTCCAAGCCCCATTCTCAGCACTTTGCTGAGAGGAGCAGCAGCCTTACCCCCACCCTCTGGGCTAATCCCAGGTTCTGGTTTGTCTGGGGTGGGGCCCAATCCTGGAGTGGGCTGGCACACACAGTGCTGCTTTATTAAGCCCTGGACTTGTCCTGAGGCAGGAGGACCAAGCCTGGCCACCGAATCTTTGTCTGGTAGCAGTAACAGAACCTCTGCCACCCACCTGCTGCCATGGGCCGCTACCGCATCCAAGTGGCCACTGGGGCCTGGCTCTTCTCTGGGTCGTTCAGCCCGCTGCAGCTGTGGCTGGTCGGGGAGCGCGGGGAGGCGGAGCTGGAGCTGCAGCTGCGGCCAGCGCGGGACCAGGTGGGCGGGGCAAGCGGGACTCAGACCCCCTGGCTGGGCTGGCCGAGTGAGGGTGGGCGGGACGAGGGAGGCTGGGAGCCAATGACAGTGCAGCTTCCCCGGCTGGGCCTTCCAGTGAGAAGGGATGCCCGCACCTATGTGGGTCACAGGTTCAGAGCCAGGGCCCTGGCTGGGCTCAACCCCTTTCCTCCCTCTTCCCCTCGCCCCCACCGTGGTCCCCGCAGCCTCCGCTACCTTTCTCCCGTTGACCCCAGGCCAGTGTTCCTATGGGATCAGTGGTCAAGGTGAAGGACCTCTGAGAGCGCGGGCCGGTGAGAGCTCAGTCAATGGACGGGGTAGGTGATGGTGCTCAGTGTTCAATTCAAGACTCTATGGGCCTCGCCCCACATCCCTCCTCTTTCTGGTGAGATGGGGCGTCTGAGACCCACAGGCAGCACAGGTGTTGGGAGGAGGCAATGCTGTCCCTGGAGGCCTTGTCCCCGGACTCCGCAAAGGACCCCTCACCCTCAGTTAAACGTCCTCTCCCGGGTCCCCGCTCCTAAGTCTCACCGGGTTCTGTCCCCACAGGTGGAGGAGTTCGAACAGGACGTTCCCCAGGACTTGGGGCCACTGCACTTCGTGAAGTTGCGCAAACACCACTCCCTGGTGGACGACGCCTGGTTCTGCGACCGCATCACCGTGCAGGGCCCAGGAGCCTTAGAGGAGGCCGCCTTCCCCTGCTACCGCTGGGTGCAGGGCGAGGGCGTGCTGACCCTGCCCGAAGGCACTGGTGAGGGGCCACCTCAGGGAAGTGGGAGCAGGACACAGGGAGTAATGGGGGGCGAAGGGGTGGCGGGATGGGTAGCACAGAAGAAGGTCAGAGGGACTTGAAAAAGTGCATGCTCAGCAGGTTAAGAGCAACCAAGACAGGAAACTAGGGGAACATTACACATAGTATTAAAAGGGCTGGAAGAGGGGGACTGGACAGGGAAATGTGTGATGTGTCGATCCCACCTCCCAAGGTGTGCCCTGGGAATGGGAGGTGCAGCCACGCTGGGAAACAGAAGAGCCAAAGTAAGGTGGGAAGGAATCTCCGGTGACTGGGAACAAGTTAGGACAAGGACAGGCTAGCACATGGGACCCCTGAGAGGAGGCAGGGAAGGGAAGCAATAAATGATATGACCATGAAGAGATGGCTTGGCTGTGATAACATGGAAGACAACTGGTAGGGCAGGGAGCACTCTGACTGGGATGGGGATGAGTGAGCAGGGGCTATAGGGGATTTGTTGCTGTGGGACAGGTGGAGGACAGATCTGACTAGAGAGAAAATTGAGAACAATGGCCTGTAAGAATGGAGACTGATCAGCCATAAGAAAGATGACATATTGCTGTTTGAGACAACATGGATGGATCTTGAGAGTATGTTAAATGAAATGTCAAAGGAAAAGAATAAGAAGTGTATTCTTACGTGTATATATAGGATATAAAACAAAAAGCAACAAACGAACAAACAAAACGAACAAAAAACACAAACTCATAGGTACAGACAGCAGAGTGGTGGTTACCAGAGGAAAGACAAAGAGGGTAAAGGGATAAATACAAGGTAACAGGAGATTAGACTTTGGGTGGTGAGCACACTCAGTGTATACAAATGTCGTATTGTAAGATTATACACTTGAATTTTATGTGATGTTATTAATCAATGTTATATCCCAATAAATTTAATAAAAAATGGAAACATGAAATAGGTGTCTTTGAGGGATAATATAAATAGAGGTGAGAAAAGGACAAGTCAGGTTAACAAATATAAACCATGTGATGGTGAGGCTAGGTGAGATGGAGTGAGGGAAAGGTAGCAACATGGAACTATTTGTTCCCTAACACAGATGACATGGGATGGTTGAAGGGAACACACAGAATTTTTGTCCCAGGGATCAGGTGTGGGTAGGGAAGGAAAGAGCAGAGTGCATATATAAAATGAATAAGAAATATTTCATTCAGAGGACAGGTGAAGGTGTAGAAAGAGGAAGGCCAGTATTGATGACTTAAGAAAGGCAATACACAATAATATGGGATATTGTGGACATGTCATAATCATTTATAGGCACAATAGTGGAATTTGATTCAAGAAACAAGAAAGGGAGGAAATTATGGAATGTTGACTAAAGATAAATATGGGGTTGAAAGAGGTGAAATCACAAATAGGTTTTCGGCAAAGATACAATAAGTGACTGTGGGAATACATCAGGTGAGGCAGAGCCAGAGAAAAAGGCAAGAGTCTGATACAATACAGTCAAGAATGAGAGATTAGATCAAGTCAGGAATAGCATGAGTTGGACAAACAATGTGGTCAAATGTTCTCTCAGCCCGCCTGGCAGGAGAGAGTACCTTGGACAAGTTCCAGAAGCATCGAGAGAAAGAACTGAAGGAAAGACAGCTGATCTACCGGTAACCATCCATCCATAGCTCTCCTGATATTCCCACCTCTTCTCTAATTTTGTCACCATCACTAACCCCCTAATTCCTCCCTGAACTCTTTTCCCATCTGCTAGTTGGGCCACCTGGAAGGAAGGGCTACCCCTGACAATAGCTGCGGACTCTGTGAAGGATCTGCCCCCAGATATGAAATTTCATGGTGAGAAGTCATTGGACAATGAACACAGAGAGAAGACAGGGTGAGAACAGATCCCAATGGAGTGGGTAGTGGTGGATCCCGTAACAAGCATGATTTGGTGAGTTGACAGTGCCGCCCTTGACACCTGTCCTAGGGCTCTGGAGATGGTCCTCAAACGTGTTTACACCCTCCTGAACTCCTGGGACAGCCTAGAGGCTTTTGATCAGATCTTCTTGGGCCCCAAGAGCACCCTTTCTGGTCAGTATTCCCATTGGCCCCTGTAAGTCCTTAATAGCCTGTTTTGATGGCCCAACCTTCACTCTCCATAGTCTCTCATAAGTAGTTCCCAGAGGAGAAGATTGTATGCCTGGTCATTTCTCAGAGGCAACAAGAAAAGACAGGGGATGGATACAGGGTGAACATATGCTGTATAAAGAGGGACATCAGGTTGTGGTGAATATCCTCCCCTAACCCTCCACTCCAACCCCACAGAGAAGGTTCACCAGCACTGGCAGGATGATGAGCTTTTTGGCTACCAGTTCCTCAATGGCGCCAACCCCATGCTGTTGAGACGCTCCACCTCTCTGCCCTCCAGGCTGGTGCTGCCCTCGGGGATGGAGGAGCTTCGGGCCCAGCTGGAGAAAGAACTCCAGGTACACCCCCAGCCCTCTGTTGTCTTCTTATCTGCGTGGGGAAGGGAAGTGGTGAAAGGGAAGGACCAAAAGTGAGTCAGAGAAGGGAGTCTGTGTTAGTTTCCCCGCTGTCCCTGGGTGCAGAGTCCTTTGCAGGGAAAACCTAGAGCATGCAGGGGAAACTATAAGACTGGTGGGTGCCAGATAGAGGTAGCAGGAAATTAGGATATGATGAAGAAAGAGGCCTGGAAACCTTGGCGGGGAAAACTTAGCATGCCTGTGGTGCAAAGAAATTGGTCAAGTATTGCCGGGAGCCAGTCCATCCTTGCTGTTTCAAGGGACCTGGCATATATGGCATACTGTTCTTAATATGTTTGCTCACCTTCTTGGCACTATGTGTTTTAACCAAGGTCACCTCTCTGAGAAAGGTTGTTTCCCCAGGTAGGGATTTTCCCCTGAAGTTAGGGAGGAAATAAAACCCCTTAACTAAGTGCCAGGCGGGTAATTAATCACTTTAACTACGAACAATCATGCTTAAGCTACATAATCTTTACTCCCTGAAATGGAGATAAGAAACGCCCTAACCTTTGGAATAGAGATTGATAGGATTGGAATCAACTGGTATAAATACAGATGTAACAAGACAACAGGACACAGAACCTAGAAACAGAACCTACACAGAACCTAGAGACAGAAGAACTTCGCTAGCGAGAGAACATGGCAAAAGATCCTGAACAGAAACTGGCTACAGAACCTGGATAGTACATGGCAAGAGAACCTGACTAGAACCTGGTGACTGAACCTGGCTGGAGAACCTGGACAGAACCTGGCTGGAGAACCTAGCGAGGGAACATGGCTACAGGACCTGGACAGAACCTGGCTGGAGAACCTAGCAAGAGAACATGGACACAGAACCTGGCTGGAGATCCTAACCAGAACTTCGCTGGAGATCCTGACCAGAACTTGGCTAGAGATCCTGGCTAGGCTGCTGATCAACTGAATGCTGTCTCCGTGTCATTTCTTCTTCGCCGACTCCGTCCACACCTTTGGGGACCCCTGGACCTGCTGGGGTTGGACCCCAGCAAAGTATGGTCTTAAAACCACCACTGCCACAGGGGATTAACATGTCCCTGGGGAAGACTCCTCTCATTTTGCCTCTTTCCTCATTGTCAATTGAGATGACTTGGATTAAATGCTCTGGATGCCTCCTTCCTTTCTGCCACTAGGACTCTGGTACTGATGTAGGATAATTGTAAGAAACTAGACTGAAATTTCTTCACATTTCTTTGCCTTGTCCCTCTGGGTGTAGTATTTGAACTCTAACCATGGATATGTTCCCCCTTTCTCCAGAAGGGTTCCCTGTTTGAGGCTGACTTTATCCTGCTGGATGGAATTCCAGCCAACATAATCCAAGGAGAGCAGCAGTACCTGGCTGCCCCCCTCGTCATGCTGAAGATGGACCCCAGTGGGAAGCTGCTACCCATGGCCATCCAGGTGAGGTGTTTTGGAAATCCTCTTCCCAACACTGCTCTGTGTGCACCCCAACCTCTGCCCAGGGACAAAGACAGCAGGCTCTTGTCCTTCACCCCTGCCTCACTCAGTGAGACCTGTCCAGGTCTCCAATCTCTCTTTTCTGCCTTACAGCCTGCTCACTACTCGCCTGATATTGCCTTTTTGAGAGTCAGAATGGTCTCTATTGGTCCTCACCCTAAGGCTACTCAATCTTTTTCTGACCTTTGAATCTGTGAAATACCCCTTCTTTCTTAGACATTTTTTTCTCCCTTTTTTTCTTGTTTCCTTTTTAAAATTTTATTTTTGACACTATTACAGATGTGCCCATGAACCCTCCCTTTGCTCACCTACACCCAGTCCTCACTCCCCTCCCACTGGCCTTCAGCACACTGTTATCTGTGTCTATGAGTTATGCATCTATGGTCTTTGGCTAATCCCTTTACCTTCTTTCATTCAGTCCCCCACTCCTCCCCTACCCTCTGACAGTTGTCAGTCTGTTCCATGTATCCATGCCTCTGTTTCTATTTTGTTCATCACTTTATATTTTCCATTATATTCTATATATAAGTGAGAGCATATGGTATTTGTCTTTCTTTGACTGACTTATGTATTTCACTTAGCATAATAATGTTTAGGTCCATCCATGATGCCACCAAAGAGAAGATTTCCTTCTATTTTATGCCTGTGTAGTATCCCATTGTGTAAATGTACCACATCTTTTAAATATCTTTATTGTTGAAAGTGTTACAGAGGTCCCCTTTTTGCCCCATTGACCCTTTTTAGCCTGCACCAACCCCCACCCCAAGCTTTCACCACATTATTATCTGTGTCCATGGGTTATGCATGTAAGTTCTTGGTTAATCTCTTCCCACTCACCTTCCCACCCCTGTCTTCCCTCTGAGATTTGACAGTCTCTTCCATGCTTCTGTGTCTCCAGATCTCTTTTGTTCATCAGTTTATTTTGTTCTTTAGATTCCACATATGAGTGAGATCATGTGATACTTGTCTTTCTCTGACTGGCTTATTTCACTTAGCATAATACTCTCCAGGTCCATCCATGCTGTCTCAAAGGGTAAGAGGTCCATTTCACTGCTGCATAGTATTCCATTGTGTCAATGTACCACAGCTTTTTTATCCATTCATCTACTCATGAACACTTGGGTTGTTTCCAGATCTTAGCTATTATAAATTGAACTGCTATGAACATAGGAATGCATGTATTCTTTCTGAATGGTGTTTCACATTTCTTAGGATACATTTCTAGAAGTAGCATCACTGGATCAAATGGCAATCCCATATTTACTTTTTTTTTGAAACCCCATACTGTTATTCATAGTAGCTGCACCAGTCTGCATTCCCACCAGCAGTGTACTAGGGTTCCCTTTTCTCCACATCCTAACCAGCACTTGTCATTTGTTGATTTGTTGGTAGCCATTCTGACAGGTATGAGGTGCTACCTCATTGCTGTTTTAATTTGCATCTCTCAGATGATTAGTGGCTTTGGGCATTTTTTTCATATGTCTCTTGGCCATCTGTATGTCCACTTTGGAGAAGTGTCTGTTTAGGTCCTTTGCCCATTTTTTAATTGGATTGGTTGTCTTCCTTTTGTTAAGTTAAATGAGTTCCTTATATATTTTGGAAATTAACCCCACATGAGATGAGATTATTTTAAAAAAATATGTCTTTATTGATTTTAGAGAGAGAGAAAGGGAGAGGGAGAGAGAGATAGAAACATTGATGAGAGAGAAACATCAACATCAATTGGCTGCCTCCTGCAGGCACTCTGCTGGGGATGGAGCCAACAACCCAGGCAAATGCCCTGACTGTGAATCTAACTGGTAACCTTCTCGTGCATGGGTTGATGCTCAACCGCTGAGCCACACTGGCCGGGCTCCTCATTCTTTTTAATACTTTTTTCTTTTTGCTGCTCTGATTCAGAGTTTTTATCTACTTTATCTCCCAAACTGCTATTCAATCCTCTGCTTCATCACCTACTTTTTATTCCTTCCAGTGTATTCTAGATGTCAGGTATCATATTCTTCATTTCCAACTGGTTCTTTTTCATGGTTTCTATGTCTCCTTTCACATTGTTCTAATTATCACTAAATTTCTTGATCATCTTTCTAAACATTCCTTTGAGCTTTATATCTGATAAATTGTTTACCTCAACTTCATTTAGCTTTTTTTCCTGGAGATGTCCTCAGTTCTTTCATTTGGGGCCTATTTCTTTGTCTCCATATTTTGGCTGCATCTTTGACTCCCAGTCTTCATGTAGTAAGTGTCCTGTGGGACCCAGTGGTGCAGTCTCCTTGATCTCCTGACCTGGGTGCTCTATGAATGTCACTTGTGTGGCTTATGTGGGCCTTGCTGTTGTAATTGAGTATTGATTGCTGTTGCCCCATTTGTAGGTGGGATTGACTTTCAGGCTGGCTGACTGTGAGGCTAAACACTGGGCCTGGCATGTGTGTTACTGTGCAGGTGCTGACCAAAATAAAAAAAATAAAAAAAATAGAAAAATACAGAAAATAAAAATAAATAAAATAAAAAACAAAGAAAAATAAATAAAATCAAAAGGCTCAAAGAAGAAAAAAGAAAAGAGAAAGGAGGGGGAGAAAAAAAGTGGAATTTGCCTCAGTAGTTTAGTGCCCACTGCCATGTCCTTTTGGATAAGCTGTTTGCAAAGTTTATTGGATCCAGCTCCAATGTTGTCTGAAACTGGCCACTTGGTGTGTTGGTTCTGGGCCTCTTGGAAGAGACTCTGATGCAAGTTAATGTCAGATACTGTCTGTGTCTGGCCCTTGGCAACCTGTTTAAAGCTACAAATGATCCAGAGATTGTGGCTGTCTCTGCTGGGCTTGGCAGTGCATAGGAAGGACCAAGCGTGCTCAAAGGCTGGCTTTTACCAGCACTGGGCCCAGGGGCATGTCAACAAATATTCCAAGGCAACCTGAAAGCCACCACTGCCTCCCTCTACCTTCTGGCTGCCTGTTAGGCTCAGTCACTGAAAGAGCCTGTGGTGAATTCGGGAGAATGGGGCGAATGGATCTTCCATGAAGAGGAGGTGCTGTACAGGTTTCAGGGAAGCTGATGGGTGTGGTCTCTTCTCCAGAGCCACATGACTGAGTCTATCTCAGATTTTGCCCTGACCTTGTAGTCAGGCAGGTGGGGTGTCTGGAGCCCAAAGGTTGGGACTGTGGGAAGACAAAGGGTAGTTCTATTGGATCTCCTGTGAGGGGGAAGTGCCAGTCAGGTTCACCGGAAAGTGGGGGAAATGGCCCCACCACAAAGCTAGTCACTGACACCCCCTGAATCTGCCCAGACTTATACACCCTAGTCAATGAAATTGACTCCTCAGCAGAGCCTAACCTCCTCAGGGTGGGGCAAGAGGGAGTCCAGAGAGTGGGGTTATTGTTTTCCCCCAGTCTGATGTTGCATGGAGGGGATTGCTCCACCTAGAAAAGATGGTGACCATGGCACTAAAGAATGACTCAGCACAGGTATTCCAGCAGCCATTTCCCTGACTCCACCCCAGAGTCCAAACCTCAGATTCTCCCTAGGCAACTCCAGTTTGTACTGCCCTCTCTCCACCAGAACTTAGAGTCAGTGGCTGCAAATGAAATTTTGTGCATTAGCCCTTTAAGAGGGCTGCCTGTGTCTCCAGCAGATTCCATCACTCCTTGGCAGACAGAACCCCTGCTGCTTTTTTTATAGTTGAATGTTATGCGGGTGCTTCTTCCTGGCTCTGGTGCTCTGGACTGGGAGCATGGCCTGGGGATTAGGACCCATGCTTCTCAGGGGAACTCCTCACAGAGGTATACCTCCTGAACCTTAGCCACTACCTGTGGGAGCAGGGCCAGCAGTTTTCCCATCTTGCCCTTCCTACCAGACATGATATGTTTCTGAAAATCCTTGGTTATCAGCTTGTCTTTAGTTGTTTATTCAGGGTGATTATTCTTTAATTTAGTTGTATTTCCAGTTTGGTCCTGGAAGAAGGTAAGTGTAAGATCCACCTATTCCACCTCCATCTTGAAAGTCTCTTCCTTGGTTTTAGTGTGTTTTCCCTCTTACTGTTCTCACCAATCAATTGATGAGAACTGTCAGTTACCTCACACATTGAGCTTCTCCTTCCTATCCGACCATCCTAACTCACATCCTCATCAGGTTTCTCCCAGTCATACTGGATTCCTCTTTGCAATTCCTCCCGCTTTGAACCTGACCATGATGGCACTCACATTTCCCCACTGCTAATCAGAGGATGAGTGTATTAACCCCCTGGGAGACAATAATCTTAGTCATCAGTTTCCCCCAGAATACTGAGCACAGTGTCTAACATATGATGAGAGGTCAATGAATGCTTAAATCCTTTTATTGCAGATCCAGCCTCCCAATCCCAGCTCCCCCATCCCACCAATATTCCTGCCTTCAGATCCTCCACTTACCTGGCTCCTGGCAAAGACCTGGGTCCGTAGTTCAGATTTCCAACTCCAGCAGCTCCAATATCACGTGCTGAACACTCATCTGCTGGCTGAGGTCATCGCTGTAGCCACCATGAGGTGCCTCCCAGGACTGCACCCTGTCTTTAAGGTACATACTCTACCCTCAATGTCTCCTCTTGCTCACATCCCAGAGAAAGGAAATAATGCAACAGTTACTCGGGATTTAAAAAGCCTAAGCCATCTGGCTGGGAACATGAAACAAACCTGCTTTGCAATAATCTAGCACTGATATGGTATTGCAGCAAAGAATCTTCATAGGCAGGAGGGGACAGGAGAAAAATAACTATGGCAAGTCCTTGAATCTTGTGGTTATATTTTCCTGTTTAAATTCTTTTAATTTTGAGCTAATTATAGATCCACATGCAGTTGTAAGAAATAATACACATTGATATCACCTACCCTATTAAATCAAGTCATTTAGCATTTTCTACCCATACTAGTATTGCAAGTCAATTCTCTGAAATTCTCCAGCAGTGGGTCTGGACGGGAGTAGGAATATAATTTGTTAAACCAATATGTTGCTGTTAAGCTAGGAATACAAATGGTAGACATGACAAACAGCCAGAGAACCATATCTTAGAATAGAGGTGAAAATAACAAGGGACAGCTATAAACACCATAGTATTGATGGAGAGTGTTCTACTGCAACCGAATGTTATGAGGAGCACAAGATAAAAGGGCAAGGATAGCAGGCCAGCTGGCCACTGACATCTACCCAAGAGTGAGGAGACTAAAGATGTACATTAGCACGGTGGTGACAGGGATGGGAGAGAGGAGATCCTGCCTGTGTCATGCCTGTGCAATATTGGAGAGAAAGGCCAGAGGTCTCAGCACTGCCAGGCTCAGGAGCTCACAAAGTAAATACTGTTGGAATGACCCCAAAATACTGTAATGCTATAAACAGCGAGTTCAGTGTCTATTGCTAGGCAGGAGGCAGCAAAACAAGGCTTGTGCTTGTCTTACTATTGTTTTCCAAACCTCAATGGCACTTTGATACAGGGAACAGGGCAGAGCAGGGGGCAAAAATCTATAAGCCTATGAAGCAGAGCAGTGGTCTGAAAGAGTGTAGTCAGGAAAAGAAGCCGGTTTGAAGGCAAAGATGAGGTGTTGAGCTTCAGATACAGAGAGCTTGAAGTGTTGGTAAGATATGCAAATGAGAGTTTGGCAGGCAGAATAACTGATCTGTAATGTCACTGAGGTTTCCAACGCCAACCCTCCTCTGGGCTGTGGTTGTTCGGGGTTCTAGGGTGACATAGACAAAATAGTTACTAATGTAGATCATGGGCTCTCAGATTTGATAACATCATGATGCCTTTGCATGACCATCTCCCTCCTAGCTTAAATCACTTATGCCAATTTTACACTTCAAAATGCCCTTTTACTAAATAAGCCCCCCTCCAGAGCTATATTCCATCACCATAGCAACTCCATCCCATGACAGACAGTCTTTGTTGGAACTCCCAGGAGGGCTAAGCCTGCAGAAGTTACCAAGGTTACCTGTGCAGGCTCTGGATTCAGACTGCTCAGGTCTGAAGCCTGACTCCTGGTCTCAGTACTCACCAAACGTGTCTTCAGGGTCCTCATCTCTGAATGAGGATAACTATCTCCATTGTTGGGTTGTTAAGACATTACAGGCTAAATGCTAGAAAAATGTCAGTTTTCTGCTGTTATTTTTATTGTCATCATCATTTCTGTCATTGCTGTTAGGAACTCTGTTCTGGGTTCTTTATTCCTTGCTGTTGTCTTAGTATTTTCTGTGACACCAGCATCCCTCCATGAACTTTCTGAAAAGAACAATATGAGCTGTCTTGATAGCTTGATTATGGGAGTATTACTTGTGCCCTTCCCTTTTTCCAGCATCAAAAATCTCTGATCAATATCCAAACTGTCTGAATCCTATATATTAATCAGATTAAAACTGTAATAAAAATAATCTAAGATAAAAAGAAGCACATGTCAGGATTGGGTGCATTTTTAAAAAATATATGCTTTTGTTGAGTTTAGAGAGAGGGAAGGAAGAGGGAGAGATAGAAACATGTATGAGAAACATTGATCAGCTGCCTCCTGTATGCCCTCTACTGGGGATGAAGCCTGAATTCCAGGCCTGTGCCCTGAATGGGAATCAATCCTAAGACCTATTTGCATGGACCAACACTCAACCACTGAGCCACACTAGCTTGGCAGGTATAATTTTTATTTTTAAAATATTTATTATTGAGAGTATTACAAATGTCTCTCTTTGTTCCCCCATTACCTACCTCCACCTGGTTTCCACCCTGCCCCAGGCCTTCACCACCCTATTGTCTGTATCCATAGGTAATGCAGATAGGCATATAAGATCTTTGGTTAATCTCTTCCTGCCCCTCTCCCCTTCCTTCTGAACAGATTCATCAATCTGTTCCATGTTTCCATGCCTCTGATTTTATTTTATTTATTAGTTTATTTTGTTCATTATATTTTGTTTGTTTAGATTCAATTGTTGATAGATATGCATTTATTGCCATTTTATTATTCATATTTATGATCTTTTTTCTCTTCTTATTCTTCTTCCTTTTCTTAAAGAATACCTCTCAATATTTCATGTAATACTGGTTTGGTGGTGATGAACTCCTTTAGCTTTTTCTTGTCTGTGAAGCTCTTTATCTGACCTTCAATTCTAAATGATAGCTTTGCTGGGTAGAGTAATCTTGATAGCAGGTCCTTGCTATTCATCACTTTGAATATTTCTTGCTACTCCCTTCTGGCCTGCAAAGTTTCTATTGAGAAATAAGTTGACAGTTGTATGGGAGCTCCCTTGTAGATAACTAACTGCCTTCCTCTTGCTACTTTTAAAATTCTCTCTCTATCTTTAACCCGTGGCATTTTAATTATGATGTGTCTTATTGTGGATCTCTCTGGGTTTCTCTTGTTTTGGACTCTCTGTGCTTCCTGGTCTTGGAAGTCTATTATTTTTATCAAGTAGGGCAAGTCTTCAAATAGGTTTTCAATATTTTGCTCTCTCTTCCTCCTTCTGGAACCCTCATAATGCAAATGTTGGTATGCCTGAAGTTGTCCCAGAGACTCCTTACACTATCATCATATTTTTTAATTCTTTTTTCTTTTTACTATTCTGATTAGGTGTTTTTTCTTCCTCATATTCCACATATTGATTTGATTCTCAGAATCCTCTAACTCTACTGTAGAATCCCTGTACATGATTCTTTATTTCAGTTAGTGTATGCTTAATTTCTGACCGGTTCTTTTTCATATCTTTGACATTTTCTCTAAGATCCTTGAAAGTCTCACTAAGTCTCTTGGAACTCTCATTAATTCCCTTGAAACCCTCATTAAACCCCTTGAAGCACTCATTAAGATCCTTAGGTAACCTTATAACTATTGTTTTGAATTCTGTATCCAGTAGTTTGCTTGCTTCCATTTCTTTCATTTGTAACATGTTTCTTTGTCTCCTCATTTTGACTGCCTCCCCGTTTTTGCTTCTATGTATTAGATAGAGATGTTATGTCTCCTGGAATTGATAGATTGGCCTTGTGTACTAGGTGTCCTATAGCACCCAGTGGTTCAATCTCCCCAGTCACCTGAGCTGCACACTCTAGGTGTGCCCCTGTATGATTTATGTGCACAGTCTTATTGTAGTTGAGCCTTGACTGTTGTTGGCATCACTTGGAGGAATTAACCTCCAGGACAATTGGCTGTGAGGAACTGCTGTGACTACAGCAGAAGAGCTGCTATTCAAGAGACACCCCTATGGAGCAATACTTGCTTCAGTGGGGCTTTGGTGCACACTGAGTCTTCCTCTTGAGTGTGTTGCTTGTGGATGAGTAGAGCTGTAATCTAGAATGCTCTGAAGCTGTCCACCAGGCACACTGGCTCTGGGGCCTCCCAGGAAGCATAAAGGCAGCCACTACCTGGGGCCACTCTGCAGGAGCTACAGAGAGATCTGCAGATGGCTGTTACTTGTAGTGGGCTAGGAAGTGCCCAGACGAGGCCTACCTGTGAAACAAGGCAAGCTTGTGCTAGTGCCAGGTCTTGGGCCTCTTATTGATAGGTTTGGAGCTTGTTTAAGAGATTTTAGGAAAGTCTGAAACCTGAGCCAGGGCAGGCCATTCATATGGAAAAAGCCACTGCAAATAGTTTGGGTGGGGCAGCAAATTGGATGGGGTGGCGTCTCAGGGGATCACCAGAGCAGAGCTAACAGTGTTGGCCATGGTAATAGAAACTCAGATACGCTGCCAGACAGCCCTGCTATGGGGAAGGTCTCAGGACATTAACAATGACCCCTGTGAGTACCCCTGTCTAGGAGAAAGCTGCCCCTGCATTCTTGCCCCAGTGGCAGACAGTCCAGTTCCTCTCCATATATCCCTGGATTCCCCCAAAGCTGCCACCTGGAGCTGGGGCTCAGAGGAAGCAAAATCATGTATGTTCATGCACAGACCCTTTAAGAGGAATACCTGGGACTCCAGCAGCTTCCATGTCACTCAGCCACAATCCCCACTGGTTTTTATAGCCCAAAGTTATAGGGACTTGGCTTCCCAGATCTGGAACCCTGGAATGGGGGGATCTGGTGTGCAGCTGGGACCCCTGCTTCTCATGAGCAGCCATGGAGATAACACTCCCAATTTAAAAACCAGACTATTCTGTGCCTCCACCCCTCCCACCAGTCTCAATGTGCTTTCTTATTTACTTCTCTAGTTGTAGGACATCTGTTCAACTGCATTCAGGCAGTTCTGAATGATGGTTGTTCTATATTTTAGTTGTAGTTTTGACATGGTTGTGGGAGGTGGAAAGTACAAGCATTTACCTACACCACCATCTTTGAACTTTAGTGCACTTTTGTAATAACTAAAGAAAAAGAAGGAAAGAGGAAACAATTAGGAAGGGGAACAGATTTAATGATGACCCATTTGCTGTTTAAGCAGGTAGTTTGATTTGGCTCCTAAAATTCTGACTAAAGGTATCCTGTCCTCAAAAGAATCCAAGAATAAAACAATGAGCAGTTGGAGGAAGAGCCTTGAAATGAACAGAGAAGCTAGTTTATGGAATGAGGAGATGTGAATGATAGAAGAATCATGAAATGATATAGAAAGCTAAGATGTAGGTTCTAAATGGACAACCACATTGAAGGTGGATACTTTAAAGGAAATGACAATATCTCCTAATCAATGCTTCTGTGTACCAGGCACTGAGTTAAACACTCTCTATATATCACTCACATCATCACCACCACAGCACCTGACTTAGGAGACCTATTATCATCCTGGTTGACAGATGAAGAAATTAACATTTAGGGGGTATATGGCCTTGAACAAGTATCAGAATGAGGGTTAAAACCCAGGACTCAAACCCAGGTCATTCTAGCTCCAGTAGAGTCATGGAGAGCATGAGAGTTAGTGATCATAGCAGCAGAAGGAGACCAGCCTGCAAAGGAAAAGATCCAGAACAGGGAGGAAAAGATCCAGAGGAGAGAATGTCACCAGGCTGAGTGCCACTCCCTACAAGGGAGGACCCAAGCATGGACTCCATTAACAACCCTTCTTTAATCTTCTTCATCCAGCTCCTGATCCCACACACGCGCTACACCATGGAGGTTAACATCAGAGCGCGGACCCAATTTGACTCAGATAGTGGAATATTTAATCAGGTAAAGAGGAAATGGGGGCATAGGGCTGCCTAATCTTTCATCTCTCTACAACCTCCTGCCATCTTCACAGTCTCCGACAACCTAGTATGAATGTCCTGACCCTTAAACCTATGTGCCTGTTCCTTTTATACCTTTAATTTTGTAAACCCCAACACTGAACCCCTTATATAAGATTCTGCAGCTCTTCTATTCTGTGATACCCGACAACTCTCACATTCCAGGCAATGAGCACCGGTGGAGGAGGCCTTGTGCAGTTGTTTCGTCGGGCCTTGGCTCAGCTAACCTACCGCTCCCTCTGTCCTCCTGAAGATCTGGCTGACCGGGGCCTGCTGGGAATCCCAAGTGCTCTCTATGCCCATGATGCTTTAAGGCTCTGGGAGATCATTGCCCGGTGGGTGAGAGTGGGAGCTGAGAAATGGACGGCCATTGGGGAGAGGGAGAGTGTGTCTCTGTCTTGAGGTCAGCATGAGGAACATGAAAGAAGAAGGTTCACACAGGGGGAGCAGAGGACTTAATCCTGGGAGAGATGAGGAAGAGTGAGGAGACAGTGGGTAGGATCTGAAAAGAAGGAAAGTAGAATAAGAGCGTAGGTTGGGAGACCTGGAAATGGGGAGATGGGGATCTAGAAGAACCAGGGTTTTGTTAGGGAGAATGGTTATTAATCACGTTTAGGGAACTATTAATACTAAGGATCCACATTTCCTTCCTTTCTAAACTAGTGTGTAGAATGAGTTCAGGGATGTCCCAAAAAGTAACTCTTGTAAAATCTGTGTCCAGATACAGTGGATGGACCTTGGCTGGGGCCACAGAAAAAGAGTAGCAATCAGAGGCGAGGGCTTTCTACTCTTAATGAGCTCAGCTCCCTTCTCCTCTGGGCAGGTACGTGGAAGGGATCATCCACCTCTTCTACCACGGGGATGACGTCGTGAGAGGGGACCCTGAGCTGCAGGCCTGGTGTCGGGAGATCACTGAGGTGGGGCTGTGCCAGGCCCAGGACCGAGGTGAGATCCCTCCCCAGAGAAGAAAGTTCCTCAGACACTGCCCAGAGCCCCTTGTCAGCCTTGCCCTTCTGGGGAAATGAACCCAACAACTCATCACCCTCTCGCCCTCCACACATGAAGCATATGAATACCATTCCCACCTCCAAAGTGTTAGGACAGTCCTACAAACCCAAGGATTTTCCTCCTCAGAGTAACTATCAACCTTTATTACCATCCCCCATTCCTGCCACTGATACCTCCAACCTCCACAGCATAGAGCCCAGTGGGTCCAGAACCCCAACCAGTGGGGAATCTGCCCAAGCCCGGCTTGTGCTCTCTGATGTTCTTCCTAAGAAAATAAGTGGGGAAAATGTTCCCACCAAAGTCCATGATGAACCACTCTGGCTTTCCCTCCCTTCTCCTCTTGCCTGCTACTGTCCACCACACACAGAAGAGGTTCCAAGCACAGTGACCACAGTGCGGGGTCATTTCTAGGTGAAGAATGAATCTCAGATTTCCCTAGCCAGTGCATTTCATCACTAAGCTCTAGCTACTACCTTTCATTCTTCCACTCCACATTTTAATCTACGAAGAAGAAATACAGTGTTTTTGAGCTTTGCCTAGTTTCATCTTCCTCTCTATAGCACACATGTGCCAACCTCATCTGTTTCAAATTGTCCTTCAGGCCGTGCCCCCGCCTACTTCACACCAACACCTTGAGTCCCATCCTCAGCCTGTGAGACAAGTACAAACATTTACTGGGAAGCTATTATGGCCGGGACATGGGAATACAAGGTTTAATATACCAATGCCAGACCCTTGGAGGGAGGCTTTCTTTGGAGGGTCTAGGGAACACCCCGACCACCCTGACCCTTTCAGGACCAAATGTTCTCTCATACTTTTCAGTTCTGTTCTTCAAGCATCCCATGCCCCAAAAAAATGCTTCTCCCTCTCCCTGGAAATCCTCTTCCCATGACATATCTACCTTAAGCATTTACAAAGTACCGTCATATATAAGCTTTAATCTCTGATTCCCCCATCTCACTCCCTCAGCTTTCAATGTTCTCTCTGCCCTATTATTCCCATGTTATTCTCATTAAAGGCCACACACTAATATTTGTTTCTAAAGTACTGGTTTCTGCCTCTTTCCTTCTATGTGACCTTGAGCCATCCACTAGGTCTCTTTCACTTTGACTTTTAGTTTCCTTAAAGCTAAAATGGGCAAAATATTTGGCAACCATTCTCACTTAGTGCCTGACAGAATGTTTGAGACCCAATGATATAATGTGTGACAGTACTGAAGCCTACATAGTACATAGTGTTAAATGAGTTTAATCATATGCTCCACCCCACACAAAAATACCTCTGCAATATGAGCAGCATGTGAAATAGGAGAGTCCAGACTCTGCCATGCGGTAGATGACTTTGGTCAGGCATCACACTCTATGACCCCATCTCACTGCATTCATCATGTTTGTTTATTCTGCAGTTTTGATACTTTGACATCTTGGAGTCTTGCTGACCCAGAAGGCACTGCCCTTCCCAGGGCCAGCTGATTCTCAGATATAGCAAACCACTCCCCTGGGAGCATGCTTTCATATGCCGGAAGTCCCAACCACCACCTGTATTGAGCTCTTACACTCTGGGCCGCTATTCCCCTGGCCTAATCACCTCAGGCCAGGTACCAGACTCTGGACAGCTACCACACTCCAGAGCCCACTGGAATTATTGCAACTAGCCTGTCCTAAAACCTGCTAATTCTGCCTTGCTTGTTCTTTCTCATGGAAACCATGACAAAGGCTCCTGCTACCTTTTCCCCTCACCCCTCTGCCTCTTGACCAACCCTGGTCCTCCCAGTGTGGTCCCCCGTGGTGTGGTAGGTACTCATCTCTTGGGATCTGTGAGTATAACATATATCCTTTCCCATGACAGTTATCTCCTGACCTGTTGGCTTTAACACAACTGAATAATAATAATAATAGAAACTATATTTTAAAACAGTTGCCTGTATATTGAGTGGAATGGATAGCTGATTTTGACACCCTTCCTGTATTTTAACTGAATGAATTACTTCTCTTTCTCTGCATCATTACCCAGGTATCTATAAGCACTGAACCCCTTTTGGGGAGACAGCAATTTTGTTGAAATACAACAAACCTAGAGAGAGGTACAGAAATCATAGGTGTACAACTTCTGATGTGTTACTACAGTGACACCCCTGTATAATTAGCATGAAGATCAAGAATCAGAACTTCACCAGCTCCCTCAGAAAGCCCCTTGTGTACTCTTCCAGTCAGACCCACGTGAAAGTAACCATTACCTTGACTTGTAGGTTGGCTAATTTTACTTGACCGTCCACAGAAGGAAATACAAGCACGCACTTGCTTGTGTCTGGCTTCATTCTCTGAACACTATGTCTGAGATTTTTCTACTTTGTTGAATGCAGCATGTAGTTTGTTCATTATCATTGTGGTAACTTCCATTTTATAATTATGGCACCATTTATTTTTCCTTTTTGCTACTGATGGGCAATTAGTATTGTTTCCAGTTTGGGGCGATCAACATTAGTGCTATTGTGAACATTTCTGTGTGTGTTTGCCTGTTCTATTAATAGCTAGGTGTGGATCTGATGGGCCATAAAGTATGTGAAAATCAGCTTCAATAGTTATTGACCCTTTTCCAAAGTGGTTGTACTGGTTTCCACTCCTTTCATCAGAGTTTCAGAGCTCCATATAGTCTCAAATACATGAAAATATTTTTCTATCTTTTTTATTTAGCCATTTTGGTGGATATGTAGATCTATCATATTGTGTATTTAAGTTGAATTTCCCTAAAGACTAGGGAGTACTTTTTTCTTGGTTTAATAGTCATTGGGATATCCTCCTTTATGAAGTGCCTATTAAAGTCTTTTACCCTTATACCTTTAGGGTTGTAGCCTTTACCTTGTGATTTTTAAAAAAATATATTTTATTGATTTTTTACAGGGAGGAAGGGAGTGGGATAGAGAGTTAGAAACATCAATGAGAGAGAAACATCGATCAGCTGCCTCCTGCACGCCCCCTACTGGGGATGTGCCCGCAACCAAGATACATGCCCTTGACCAGAATCGAACCTGGGAACCTTCAGTCCGCAGGCCGAAGCTCTATCCACTGAGCCAAACCGGTTAGGGCTATCTTGTGATTTTTTAATTGAGGTCTAATTGATATAAATTATTAATTTCAGATTTACAACATAATGATTCATTATTTATATGTATTGTGAAATGATCACCACAGTAAGGCTAGTCAATATCCATCACCACACATAGTTACCCAGTGTTTCTTTTGATGAGAACTTTTATGATCTACTCTTTTAGCAACTTTCAAATATACAATACAGTATTATTAACTATAGTCACCATGCTGTACATTACATCCCATGACTTGTTTATTTTATAACTGGAAGTTTGTAACTTTTGACCACATTCACCCATTTCACCCACCTTTATCCCCACCTCTGGCAACCACCAATTTGTTCTCTGTGTCTATGATCTCAGGATTTTTTCCCCTTTTTTATTTTAAGATTCCATGTATAAGTGAAATCATAGAATATTTGATCTTTTTCAGTCTATTTTTTTCACTTAGCATAATGTCCATCCAGGTGGTCACAAATGGAAAGATTTCCTTCTTTCCTGTGGCTAAATAATATTCATATACATATATAATTTTGTTTATTCATTCATCCATTGACGAATACATAGGTTGTTTCCATGCCTTTTTAAAAAATATTTTTAAATTTCCTTTTGGAGAGATGGTAAGGGTGAGAGAGAGAAATATAGGTGTTATTGAGGAACAAGACTATTGAATAGCTGTCTCCTGCATGCCCCCTACTGGGGATGGAGCCAGCCATCCATAACCTGGTATGTGCACTAACGGGGAATTGAATCACCAACCTTTTGGTACACAGGACAATGCCCAACCAATTGAGCCATACCAACAATGGTGGTTGCTTCCATGTCTTGGCTATGGTAAATAATGCTGCAATGAACTTGGTGTGCAGATATCTTTTCAAGTCAGTGTGTTTGTTTCCTTTGGATAAATATCCAGAAGTGTGTTTGCTGGATCTAATGGTAATTCTATATTTAATTTTTTTAAAAAGAATTCCCATACTGGTTTCCATAGTGACTTCATCAATTTACATTCCCATGAGCAATGCACAAGACTTCTCTTTTCTCCACAGCCTTGCCAATACTTGTTATTCCTTGTCTTTTTATAATAGTCATTCTAACAGGTGTGAGTTGACATCTCATTATGATTTTGATTTACGTGTCCCTGATGATAAGTGATGTTGAGCATTTTTTCATGTACCTGCTGGCCATCTGTGAGTCTTTGAGAAAATGTCTATTCAGATCTTCTGTCCACTTTTTAATTGGACTTCTGGTTTATTATGCTATTGAGTTGTATGAGTTCTTTACATATTTTGGATATTAACCTTATTAGATATGTGGTTTGCAAATACTTTCTCCCATTCGGTAGGTTGCCTTTTTATTTCATTGGTAATTTCCTTTGCTGTGCAGAAGTTGTTTAGCCTGATGTAGTTCCATTTGTGTGTTTTGCTTTTGTAGCCTTTGCTTTTGCAAATCCAAACGTCATCACCAAGACTGATGTTTTTATCTAGGAGTATTATGGTTTCAGGACTTTAATCAATTTTTCCTTAATTTGTGTGTGTGGTATAAAATAGCAGTCCAGTTTCATTCTTTTGCATGTGGCTGCCAGTTTTCCCAACAACATTTTTGAAGACATTGTCCTTTCTCCATTGTATATTCCTGGCTCCCTTTTGGGGCTCACTTTTCTGTTCCATTGATCTAGATATCTGCTGTATGCCCAATACCATACTGATTTGATTAAATTTGCATTGTTATACTGTTTGAAATCAGGAAGCAGGATGAGGATGCCTTGAACTCTGTTATTCTTTCTCAAGATTTCTGTGGCTATTTGTGGTCTTTACTGATTCCATAAATTGTAGATTGATTTACTCTATTTCTTTGAAGAATGCAATTGGAAATTCAAAGAGATTGCATTGAATGTATATGTTGCCTTGGGTAGTATGGACATTTTATAATATTAATTCTTCCAATCTATGATAATAGAATATCTTTCCGTTTACTTATCTTCAATTTCTTTCGTCAATGTCTTATGGTTTTCACTGTACAGGTATTTCACCTCCTTGGTTCAATATATTTCTAGCTATTTTATTCTTTTGGATGCAGTATATATTTATATGAATGAATGCATGAATGCACACTAATCATAATATAATCTCCAGACATTAGCACTCATTCCCTTATCTTTTTCAGGGATTGCAGTTTCTAAACTTTGGTATTTCTTCTCCTAGGTTTTCCTGTCTCCTTCCAGTCTCGGGCTCAGCTCTGCCATTTCCTTACCATGTGCATTTTCAGATGCACTGCCCAGCATGCAGCAATCAACTTCAGCCAGGTATGGGCAACTGAAAGCCTGGGTCCCTGAGGGAAAGTGCCTGGTCTAGGGTATGTTTGAAGGAAAGAGTTGGGAGCTAGAGCCCTGCATATCAGAGTGCTTAGTTGACTCTAGATTCTTTCCCTCCCTCAGCACGACTGGTTTTTCTGGGTCCCTAATGCCCCATGCACAATGCGGATGCCCCCTCCTACCACCAAGGAAGATGTGACAATGGCCACACTGATGGGCTCACTCCCTAATGCCCGGCAGAGCTGTCTTCAGATGCTTTTGATGAGGCAACTGGGCCGGCAGCAACCAGACATGGTAAGAGGGGATTTGGGGAATTTGGGGGCAGTGATAACAGAAAAGAAATTTCAGAGTGTGGGGCTGGGCTCTGATTCCTGTGTCTTGGAACTAGAAGCTGAACAATCCTTCTTTTCTGCTTCAGGTACCCCTGGGGTATCACACAGAAGAATATTTCTCAGGCCCTGAGCCCAAGGTTATTTTAAGACAATTTCAAGCAGATCTGGACAACCTGGAAAGGGAGATAGTGGCCCGGAATGAGCAGCTAGACCTTCCCTATGAATACCTGAAGCCGAGCTGCATAGAGAACAGTGTTGCTGTCTGAGCCCCAGTAAATGGCCTTTCATAGGCCACAGGCCAATACTAGGGTTAACATTTTCCTTTTGAGTTTTATGTTTTCCTGGATCTGAATTGCTATGGTTCTATTTTCTTTTCTATCTGAGTTCCCTCCCTGAATATATGACTAGCCTGAGGCACTGTCCCACTTCCAGGTCATCTAACAGAATGACCTTTAACTTGAAAACACATTCCTTAAAGAGATCAACTATTCACTCATGTAGATTCTCCTATCTCTAGGAAATTTGTCTTTTTCATTTATTATATAATCATTTTGAGATAGATTTGTTAATATCGTGTGAGATGAATATTCAATTCCATTTTTTTTCTTTTGGAAAAGCTATTATACCAGCACAGTTTATTTAAGAGCCCATCCTCTCTCACTGATCTATAATGCTAGCATATATCACTTTGCCAAATCAGAATGGAAATATTTTTGAGATTTCTAATCTATGTTTTCATTAATGTGTCTGTCTTATACTATACCATACTGACATAATTGCTACAACTTTATAATTAAAATCACCTACTATTTTGTAGCACAGATCCATCAATTTGTCTTTTAGAGGTGACAGCTTTTCTTGGACTTAGGACCCTTCATATACATATTAAAATCAGCTTGTTATTCTCCAAATATAGTGTGTTGTGATTTGTGTGTGTCAGTGCACTCATTTATATAAAGTGTTCAGTCTTAAACCAACTTTGCATTCTTGAGATATATCCAATTTGCCACTGTATACACTGTTGAATTCCATTGTAGTATCCCAGGCTTGCTAAGAACCAGGTGCCCTTTCAAACCAACCAATCAACTTCCCAATCCTTTCTGGCTTCTTTTGGTTTCTCTCTATAACCAATCCATTTACTAGATCATCTGGGTTCTGAGTTCCTTATTGAATCTGATCACTTTCCCAGCCTTGGTACCTCCCCTTTATGGTTGCTATCTTAGCTCCTATGGGCATGCCTCACAAAAGTACCTCCTCCTATGTTTGGGTAGGAGCCAATCAGAGGGGACATCTGTAATACATACAACAATAAAGGTAAATTTTTAAAATAAGAGATTTTTAAAAGAAAAAGGAAATAAAACCTTAGAAATAAAAAAAAAAAACACATCTGATTTGAGGGGAAAAACACGTGATCAAGCTTCTGGTTTGAGATGGAGAAAAGAACCTACTCTTTTACCTCATCTTACTCCCAAAGTACAATAAATGTGATGCTAAAATAATAACAAAGACTCAAACAGACACATATTTAAATTGAAAATACATTTCTCAGACACCCCTCTTCCAGCCAGAGTTGGCCATATGACTAACTGTAGTCTACAGTATATGAACAGAAGTGATGTGTGCCATTTCAGACCACGTCCTCAAAAATAATGGGCTTGCTCTCTATGTCCTCTGTTTAGTTTCCTGTAGTTTGGAATGTTAACATGATAGTAGAAAACTAGCTTCAGTCATGTAAATTAGGACAACACCATAGATGTTTTGCTGGTTGGCTGCATTTATCAGAACCACTTATATACCCTGGAAAACTCCCTTACTCTAGAGCATTATGTGCAAGAGAAATAAGTTTCTATTTTGTTGGAGTCACTGTATCCTCATTACAGCAGATTAGCCTAACACACAAGAGAAACATTCTAAGGCAGAACCCTCTAGTCCAGTGATGGTGAACCTATGACACACGTGTCAGAGGTGACACATAAACTCATTTTTTGGTTGATTTTTCTTTGTTTAATGGCATTTAAATATATAAAGTAAACATCAAAAATATAAGTCTTTGTTTTACTATGGTTGCAAATATAAAAAAATTTCTATATGTGACACAGCACCAGAGTTAAGTTAGGGTTTTTCAAAATGCTGACACGCCGATCTCAAAAGGTTCGCCATCACTGCTCTAGTCAATGAGTACTGTCCATGTAGAGCTTCTAGCTCACCAACAAATTGCCTCAGTGTTAATCATAAACAGATAATAAGGATCTCCAGGGAGTTAGGTAAGCTACCCCATAAAGGGACAAGTCCAACATAAAAAGGAGAAAAATGATGACATTAAGAAACATAATTCAGCAAACACAATCATTTTAAAATAAATACTGTGCTGGCCAGTGTGTCTCAGTGGTTGAGTGTTGACCTGTGAACCAGGAGGTCACGGTTCAATTCCCGGTCATATCACATGCCTGGGTTGCAGGCTCAATCTCCAGTGGTGGGCATGCAAGAGTCAGCCAGTCAATAATTTTCCCTCATGATTGATGTTTCTATCTCTCTTTCCCTCTCCCTTCCTCTCTGAAATCAATTAAAATATATATTTAAAAAAATACTGTAATCACTATCTTTGGACTTGAGAAAATATTGTCCCTATCAAATAAAAGAAATGTACTATGGGGAAATAAAAATAATAATGATCTTTTAGAAAGTAAATGTGCAAAAACAAAATAATTTAACAGAATTAAATAGAGACAATCTCCCAGAATATAGAACTAAAAGTCAAAGAAATAGGAAATATAAACATTAAGAAATAGAGGATCAATCAAGGAGATCAAGTATAAAAACTTAAAAAATATAAAGTGAATAAAACCACGAGATATTGCCTCAACACCTGTCAGACTGGTTATCATCAATAAACCAAGAAAAAACAAGTGTTGGCGAGGATGTAGAAAAAAGGGAGTCCCTAGTGCACTGTTGGTGGGATTATAAATTGGTGCAGCCACTATGAAAAGAAGTATCATGGTTCCTCAAACAATTAAAACTAGAAATTCTATATGACCCAGCAATTCCAAATCTGGTTATTTATGCAAATAAATCCTGAATACTAATCTAAAAAGACATATGCATCCTTATGTTAATTGCAGCATTATTTACAATGGCAAAGATATGGAAGCAACATAAGTGTCCACCAATAGTTGAATGGAAGATGTGGTGCATGTATACAAAAGAATATTACTCCTTAAAAAATAAAAAAAATGAAATCTTGCCATTTGTAACAACATCAATGGACGTTGATGGTATTATGCTAAGTAAAATAAGTCAGACAGAGAAAGACAAATATCATTTGATTTCACTTTTATGTAGAATCTAAAGAACAGAAATAACTCATAGACCCAGACCAAATTGACGGTAACCAGATGAGCAGGAAGTGGGGGGATGAGTGAAAAAGGTGAAAGGGATTAAAAATTATAAATTGCCAATTATAAAAATAGCCATGGGTATATAAAGTATAGCATAGAAAATATAATCAATAATATTGTAATAACTATATATGGTGTTAGGTGGGTACTAGACTTATCAGAGTGATTATTTCCGGAGGTGTATAAATGTCTAATCACTATGTTGTGCATCTGACACTGGTATAATATTGTATAACAACTGTAATTAAAATTTATTTAATTTTAAAAAGAGAAAAAGAAGCAAAATGCTACAAAACAAATCAGACGGTAATCAGATATTTCAGTAACAAAAACTAGAAAACAATGAGTAGATCTTAACGTTCCAGGAGAAAAGTGTTCTTGGCATACTCTGTTTAAGTGGCAGATGGATTATGACAGTGGTGTCCTTTCTGAGCTGCTCACCTCCCGGCCTAAGTGCTGCACTCATTCTTCACAGATCACGTGAGAGAGCTTTATGGTAGATTGCCTTTCGTTAAGTGTAGAACATTAACACATCTCTGAAGACCCTCTCATGACCCCTTGCAGGCACTGCCCCACGTCTAAGGATAAACACTACCCCAATGGTACTCACTATGTATCAGTTTTGTCCTTTTAATCTTTATGTCAATAGCGGTATCAGCCATTTCTTGGTTTATACTTAAAATCTTCAGAGATTATTAAAAAATATAATTAAACTAAAAAATACTGGTGTTAGCAGGTACACTTTTGTGTCTGGCTTCTTTCACTCTACATTGTTTCTGAAACCCATCCACGCTGTTGTATAGCACTGTAGCTTATCCAGCCTCATTATAGCATCATATTCAATTGTGTGAATATATCACCATTGATGGACATTTGGGTTGTTTTTTGTATGGGGCTATTACAAATCGTGCTACTCTTAACATTCTTGTACATCTTTCAGAACATTTATGTATGGATTTCTGATGGGAGTAAATGAGTAGAATTTCCCATGGAAGATGTGGGAATGTTGAGATTTGGTAGATTCTGCCAGTTTCCTTTGGTGATTGATGTAGTTTATATGCCTTCTACCAGTGTTCTAGAATGCTAGTTGCTCCATATACTAACCAAAAAACATTATTACGTGTATCATGTGATTTTGTCTTTTAAAATAAACTTTAATTTTTAGAGCATTGTTAGGTTCATAGCAAAAACATACATAGATTTAAAATATTGCCCCACCTCCGTGTTAACACAGCATCCTTCAGTTTCAAAGTTCTCCAGTAGTGTGGTACATTTGTAAAATCAATGAATGTACATTGACACATCTTTATCACTCAAAGTCCACATTATACACGAGGGTTCACTCTTGGTATAAATTATCTGGATTTTGACAAATGTATAATAACATGTAGCCATCATTACAGTATCACACAGAGTAGTTTCACTGCCCTAAAAATCTTTTGTACTACACATATTTACTTTCCCACCCTAGCCCCCTGGCAAACACTTAGCTATTTACTCTCTTAATAGTTCTGCCTTTTCCAGAATGTGATATAGTTGGGGTTATACAATATGTATCCTTTTCTAATTGACTCAGTCCTCTGATTGATCCCAGGCTCCAGGCAGGACAACTTTGGAGCCTTCTACCCATGCATTGGACTGCTTCTTAAAGTGGCCCTCTTTAATATTGAACTTCATGTGTATTTTACATCCTCCTTCCTGGATCACAATGCGTTTTCAAAGGCAGTTTTACCCATTGATGGATGGCTGCCAAATACTAAAAATGGAACTCCCATTTGACCCAGTGACCCCACTTCTAGGAATATATCCCAAGAAATCAGAAACTCCAATCAGAAAGGATATATGCACCCCTATGTTCATAGCAGCACAATTCACCATAGCTAAGATCTGGAAACAGCCTAAGTGCCCATCAGCAGGTGAGTGGATTAGAAAACTGTGGTACATCTACACAATGGAATACTATGCTGCTATAAAAAAGAAGGAACTTTTATCATTTGTAACAGCATGGATGGGCCTGGAGAGCATTATGCTAAGCGAAATAAGCCAGTTAGAGAAAGATAACTATCACATGATCTCACTCATTTGTGGAATATAATGAACAACATAAGCTGATGAACAAAAATAGATCAGAGATAAAGAAACACCAAACAGACTGTCCAACCTCAGAGGGAAGGCAAGGGAGGGGGTAAAAGATCAACCAAAGGAGTTGTATGCATGCATATTAGCATAACCAATGGACACAGACATTGGGGCGGTGGGGGCTTGTCCTGGAGGGTGGGAGGCCAGGGAGGGGTCTATGGGGGAAAAAGGAGACATATGTAATACTTTAAACAATAAAAAAGAAAAAAACAATAAATAGGAACAAACAATAATAAAGATTAAAAAAATACTGAGTAAAACTACTAGGAGACTTAAGATTATCTTGAAATCGTGTGTGTGGGGAGGAGATGGGTGTCTACAGCTGGTGATGGGAAAGTAGTTTGAATTTTAAGGAGAGGAGAGGTTGG